AAAAATACTTAATGGTTTTATTGGACTATGGTTATCATCATTGGCTTTGACTTGGACTTGTGGATTTAGATCTAGGTTCTTAATTCTTTGCTTTAAAGTTGTGACTTGAGACCTTGATTCCTATGATACCTTGATCCATCTGAGACCTTGGAGCCTTCATCTTAGACCTTAGGAGTTTCATATGATCATTGAGTTTTATCTATTTGTTTTCTTTTTGTGTGTTTTATCTAATGCAAGAACTTTCATCTGAGATATAAAGTTTTCATCAGATGTTGAGATCTTAGGCTTACACCTGAGGCACTAAATTGTTATCTGATGCTTATAATCTTCATCTGCTTACTTTCTTGTTTGTGTGGCTTAATCTAAAAGGAATGAATGCATGGTTTTATTTATGTCAAGTTATTTTCTCTATCTTGGTTAGATCTTTTCTACCTTTTCTTTTGCTTTATGCTTTAGGAGAGTCTCTTCATCTCTGGCATATCTTCTTCAAATTTCAAAATTTATCTTTTTTTTAAAACATTCTTGTTTTCTTAAACTTGAACCACATTCATCATAAACCTTGACTTTGTCAAGTACATTTTCAAAACTTTTTTCTTAATAAATTCTTCAAAACATCTTAAGCATATCAAAACAATTTCAAAAGAATTAAAAAACACATAAACACATTCAAATCTTGTTGCCACTTGGATTTTTATTTTAAAATTTTTCCCCAAAGATTAGATATGAGTCATCTTCATAGTTGAGATGTAACTCTCCTATCCTCATAGTATTGATTGAAATTGTGTTGATTCTTTTCCACTTGAGAGGGTTAGTGGTTTACTTGTTGATTTTTACCCAAGTTGGAGCCCTTCTTTTAGGATGATGCAAAGGTTCATCTTCTCATGCCTGTGAGTGATTAGTTGAGTTTTCTCGTTAAGATGACAAAGTATTTCTTCATTTAAAATCAACCAAGCAAATAACTTTTTTCTTTTTTAGAAGAACTATGTGATTCTGATTTCTTTATTTCACATCGGAGATACGTAGGCACAAAGCTCTCAAAGTTTTGTCGAATCAAAACCATAAAAACCATTTCTTTCCTCATCTCCATAAATCTTTTTGCAAACAACCATTTTTAGTCTTTAACACAGATTTTCAAGAGGTTCCCATAGAATACCATGGATGTTTAGGGTGTTAATATCTTCCCTTTTCATAACCAACCCCAAAATTTTGTTCTCTTTGTTTTATTAGTTTTGTTTTAAAACTTCTGTAAGTTTTATTCTCTCTTTTCTCATTCCATTTGGAAACAATAAAGTGCGGTGGCGACTGTGGGTTAAGTTAATTAATAACTTAATCTCAATTTTTCACCGCTACACAGATGGATGTAGAACAACATTTTCTGATCTTTCTTCCTCGTATCACTTTGCACGTTTTTCCGTTCCTCTATTGCATCTACTACAACTGAAATGTAACCTTCAATGACGAGATCAAGAACGTCTTGAGCACCGAATAACACACGCATCTGAATCATCCACCGATTCAAATTCTTTCTATCAAACACCAGAAGCCTCGTATTCAAACTATTTTCATCGTTCATCTTTATTTTTGTGCACTGAAACTCAAACTCAGATCTCAGATCTCTCCAAACACTCGTGTTTCCCGATCCTGCAAAATCAAGAAATGCAACTATGTTACGGTTCTGATTGTGAGTTCAACTCGAATTTAAGAAAAAACAAAATCAATTACACATGCCTTACGTACACTCGTGTTTCCCTGTGAATCGGACCAGAGCTCTAGATGTCAATTGTTGGAGCAAATGTTGAAGATGAAGATGAAAGAAGAAAGAGAAAATAATTATAACAAGGTAAATTCTTGGCCATCCTTTGTAAATTTAGGGGTAATTTATCCTTTATGACATGTATTAATTAAATTTTATCATATAAAGTAAAATTTTAAAAGCACATATTAATCTAAAATCTTTAAAGAATCAAAATCAACTCAAGAAAATAATATATAATTTTATTTTTGAATAGTAAGATGTTGGTATGTCAAGTGTGAGTAATGATTCTCACATTGGATGGAAAAGAGGATATTGAACTTTTTTTTTTAAATGAGAAAAGACATAAACCCAATATCTTAAGGTTTTGAATTAATATCTTAATTTAAAAAATTAACTTTATGTGATAAAATTTCATTAGTACAGATCATTAAGAGTACATTACTCCTAATTTTATAAGGTATAATCTAGATCTGACCTTATAACAGATTTTAAGAGAAAGAAATTTTATTATAAAAAACTTATAAATTCACGTTATGAAAAACTAATTACACTAAAATGTTTAAATATACCAAAATTAAAATTACATGTAAGTAAACTATATGATGTAAACACGGTTAAACTAAAGCAAATCCTAAAAATTAAACACACATCTAAAACAACAACCTCATAAATTTCAACTTCTGAAAATAAATTATGAGTGATAAAATTTTGTTTTAAAGAACTCATCCTAATCAATTAATGTATCAAGATATAAATAATAATATAAGGCTAAATAATGTAGATTTTTTCTTTGTTTGATAAGGAAGTCAAATATTACCTTTTTATGTAATATTTTTCAAAAGAATCATTAAAGATCATTTAAGGAATTAACTGAAATTGAAAACTAACATTATCACAAAAGTTATATGAAGGTACAATCTCTCCTTTCGTTTTATTGCAATCTCTTTTTCTTTCTCTCTATTTCGATGAAAGTATAAATTTAAATGTAATATCGTATAATAGTTGGAGATCAAAACTTTGATAAATAATGTATATTTTAAAATTGATTAAATAATTTGACAACACAAAATATAAAATATTTTTAAGTCGACAATGTATAACCCATAAATTATATTAGTTGATAAACAACTCCTATAAGATAATTCAAACAATGTTTGAATTATTATTTTTATAAACTCGTTTCTTAAATACAATTGATAGAATACACACTAATCCTACTAAAATTATATTAAAATCATATCGCATTTCAACGAAATTATATCATATTTCAAATAAATTATATTATATATCAACATAAATACCTCATAATAGATAAATCTGATATCAACAGATAATTTATTTCTATAAGATAATTCAAAAAATATTTAAAAATTTATAGTATATTAAAATTGATATTAGACGAGTTAACTTATCGAAAATATAGCAAGACTCGTTCGAACTCAATTAAAATTATTAGTGTGAACGACTAACATAAATTCAAACATAATCAATTAATGTAAAACTAAGTAACATAAAGATTTAAGTCTGACAATCTTTCTTAGACTTTTGATAAATTATAACCATTAAAAAAACTCTGTTAGAAGAATTTTTTCTTTGAATTATTTAATTTTAAGTTTAAAAAGGTAATTAACTAGTGTAATAAAATTCCAAGTCACAAACCAATAGGCAATGTTCAACCAACATATCTTTTGTTATGTTCAATATTAGATGGTAAGTTTTGTTTTAAATGATAAAGAATTAAAGTATGGTCCTTCCTATCAAATCTAACATTAATCATAATTAAACTAATTAATAATTGATAATTAAATATTATCTTTTTACATAACATTTTTTCAAAAAAAATATTAAAGATCATTTAAAAGAATTAATTAAAGATAAATTATATTATTGTAGGGGCAATTCCGAGGAGAGAGCATTTTACTTGGGACACACCTTTGTGAGAGACACACCACTTGTCCATCTAAAACCTTAAGGTCATAGATGAGTGGGTTATCTCATATATAAGTGCTCAATCTTCCATTTTATAATCAATGTGGGACTTCTTCCTCACACTTGATTCTCAACACTCCCCCTCAAGTGTGAGTCACAATGCTCCCTCTCATGTGGAATGACCTCGAAACCAAAAGTTCTGATACCACTGTAGGGACAATTCCGAGGAGAGAGCATTTTACTTGGGACACACCTTTGTGAGAGACACACCACTTGTCCATCTAAAATCTTAAAGTCATAGATGAGTGGGTTCTCTCATATATAAGTGCTCAATCTTCCCTTTTATAATCAATGTGAGACTTCTTCCTCACACTTGATTCTCAATAATTATTATTGAAAAAATTGTATAAAGATGACAATCTCTCTTCTTTTAAATGTAATAAAATAAATCATAGAGAATCAAACCTTTGACAAATAATTAATCTTAAAATTAACTAAATAATTTGACAATACAAAATATAAATATTTTAAAGTCAACAATGTATAACACATAAATTCAATATCAATCAATAAACTACTTCTCTAAGATAATTCAAACAATGTTTGAATTAAGATTAACTCATTTACTAAACGCTTGGCTAAATAAATTTACAACTCATCAAATGATTATACTTATTATCTTAATTAATTAGATGATTTTGTCAAGATAAACACAAACCCAAAATGCTCTAATAAGACGACATGTATGTATTAAGCTAAATTAAAGGTCAGAAGTTTGAACTTAAAATAAGACTCCATGTGAAAGAAGACATGTATTCAATTATTTCAAAACAAAAAAAAAAAGAGTCCAAGAAAAGATATAGTCAAAATGAATATTGTACACACAAAAAAAGAGTCAAATTGATTTGAATATTAATATTAACTACATGAGGTGGAAAGTTGAGATCTGAGTCCTGAATAAGTGAATCGTTGAAAGTTGTGGGTGTCCAAGTAAACAGATAATTAAAAAAATAAAAATAAAATAAAAAATAAAAATAAAAAAATAAAAGAAAAAAATGTATTTGGTTTATATTGTCCCATGTAAACCCTTTTTATAGGCATACCAATTGCAGCGGATAGAAGACTTCAGAGACTTGATAATAACCCATACACTTCTCTTTCTTTTTTCTCTCTCTTTGACTTCGTCACTCTCTTCTTCTTTCTTCTCCACCTCTCCATTTTTCTTTCTATATATCTTTCTCATTCTTTCTTCATTCTTTTCATTCATCTTTTTCTATTACTATTACTACTACATAACAATGAGATTTTATCAACAATGAATTCAAGAGAGTTGAACATGATGAAATTTCCAATGAGTTTGATTAGCACTTGGTCTGATGATCACGATGATAATGATCATGGTGATGATCATCGCAGCAGCCGTGTTATTGTCGATGAAGTCGACTTTTTCTCGGATAGGAAGGAGAAATCGTCGTCGCCCGATGATCATGTTTCCATCAAGAATAATCAGATTTATGATCCTCATTGCACTCTCCATGATGCTGACCATGTCAACGTAAGCCAATTTTCATTTTCATGTGTTAGGTTAGAGTAATTTAAAAAGTTATTATTATGTCTAAATTATGCTAATACATTTAAAAAAAAAAAAATTCATGAAAATATTGTAGACCGGTCTACAACTTCTTATTACTAATATTGGAAGTGATTTGGATGATGAATCTACAATGAATGCTGGAGATAAACATGTCAAGAATCTTCAGGTACTTGTTGTAATTCATTAATAAATGAGATGTCTTAAGGTTAGAATTCGCGCTCTGCACAGCTACCAACTGAGAATTATTATACACTGAATTAAGTTAAGAGAGATAAAATATACTTTTTTTTCTTCTTTTTTTTGTTGTTGTGGTGGAGTAGTTGCAATTGCAAGAAGAGCTTAGACTAAAGAACGTAGAGAATCAACGGTTGAAGGAAAAGCTAAGCGATTTGCAAATGCGATATGTGTCCTTAATGCAACAGAATCAACGAAACGAAGCTTCGGAAAATGAGACTGTGAATGGAAAAGCTGAGGGGGGAGATGGTGTGATGGCTAGAAAGTTTGTGAATGGTTCATCATCAGAAGTAGTAGATGATCCAAAAGTATTAAATTCTCCTAATTTGGATGAAAGAAAGCCATCAAGATCGCCGCGGAACAACAATAAAACTGATCAGAAAGAGGCTGATCCAGATTCAACAGATCAACTGGTACAAGTTTGGGAGCCAAATAAGCTTCCAAGATTAAACCCCTCCAATGCTACTGATCAAGCTGCTGCGGAAGCTACTATGAGAAAAGCACGTGTCTCCGTCCGTGCGCGATCAGAAGCCCACATGGTATGTATTGTCTACGGACACACTGATAATGACACGTTGACACCAGTAATTTGTCAGACATCAAGACATCAGACATGTTTTTGTTTAGAGATGTACTGGATTGCACATGAATAGATTATAGTATTGTTGATGACTATATATATATCTAGTTTAGTTTGTTTCTAGCTGAATTGATGAACTAATTGGTCACAATTTGCAGATCAATGATGGGTGTCAATGGCGAAAGTATGGACAGAAAATGGCGAAGGGAAACCCTTGTCCTCGAGCATATTACCGATGCACAATGGCGGTCGGTTGCCCCGTTCGCAAGCAAGTGAGTCTCTCTTACTACACAGATGAATCAATCAATTATGAACGTGTACAAGTTTACATGAATCAATCAATATAATTATTGTGATATTATTTTATAGGTTCAGCGTTGTGCTGATGACAGAACAATTCTGATAACAACATATGAAGGGACACATAGCCATCCACTGCCACCTGCTGCTATGCCGATGGCGTCGACCACCGCAGCCGCTGCCACGGTCTTACTATCTGGATCAATGTCAAGTGCTGATGGGGTGGTGAACCCAAATTTACTATCTAGAATTCTTCCAAATTGCTCATCTAGCATGGCCACACTCTCAGCAACAGCACCATTTCCTACTGTCACACTAGACCTCACACATGACAACACAGATAACAATAACAACCAAAATTCTCATTCCCAGTTTCACCTAGGACAGCCTCAAAACTTTGGATCAGGACAATTACCACAAGTCATTGCACAAGCACTTTACAACCAATCCAAATTCTCTGGCCTTCAACTGTCCCAAGATGTTGGAGGCTCTTCCCAATTGCACTCATCTCAACAAGCTTCATCACTCAGTGCTGCCATCACCGCCGATCCAAATTTCACCGCAGCAATCGCCGCCGCTATCTCCACCATAATTGGCGCTGGTTCTCCCAACAACAACAACAACAATCCTAATATCCTCAACAGTGCTGCTTACAATCAGTAGCTTTTTTTCAGGAAACTAGAAACTCTTTGGTTCTATATTTGGATTTAGTTATATTTTTCTACCAATTATTTTTTTAATTTTTTAAAAAAGAAAGTGTGTGAAGCAAAATGAATTTGTGGATGTTCATATTGCTTTTACTCACTAGGTTTTGGAATACAACATTCCATTTGTTCTTCATTGTTTCATTTTTTAGTTATATAAAGCATTGTTTCATCTCTATTATCTACCCAAGAAATAATAACAGTAGTATTCAATTTTTTTTGAGATAGGAATTTTCATTTTATTTATTCTTTTTTTAACTTGGTCTTATTATTCTTATTCTTATTATAATAATTTAACTTAACCTACACTCTTAAAATATTTAAAACAACATGCACTCCATGAAGCCCTAAAAATGCGCCTAAAACCATATAAGTAATGTGGAAAGAATGTCATTTTTTTCCATTGGTCAACAAACACTGCTCTTAAATTTTAATTGAATTGATTCATGGAGTTTCACGCCAACCAAGTTCTCACCCCGGAAGAAAAAATGTAACAAACACTGGCATAAAATATGAATAAATTTTGTATTAATTAAACAGTAAATATTATCATAATAATTATATTCTTAAGTTTAATATATAAATATTTTTATTACAAATATGAAGAATTTGGGAGTCAAAATATATTTATGCAATAATAATTTTTGTGATAGTTAAGAGTTGAATTCAATGCAAAAATATATAATATTATTTTTTTAAAATTCAACTATGCAGTTAACATGTCATTTTATGTATTTATAATAATATTAAATATTTTTTAGCTCTGGTTTAAATTGCCTGGTCCTTGAGTTGGTCCTATTTTAATTTGACCAAAATTTGTAAAGCAGGTGAGGTATATATATTAAGCAGGTGAAGAATAAATGTGAACATGTTTGAGCTTGTTATAGACCAACTTGTTTGAATAGTTATGAGGTTGCATGTGATGTGATGTAAGGAGAAAATAATATGTTTTTTTCAACTCCCGTCAAAATCACCAGCAGCCTAGATGGAAAGTACTCAAAGTAGTTGTCAATTCAATACTTTTATTAGTTCATTTTGCAAATAATTTACTACGGAATTGAAATTAATTATATATTGTATTTTGAAATAATCGGTAGAATAAATTATCGAAATGAAATTAATGAAGTCGTCATCGAATGTTTTTTATTTTATAGGAAGAGAAATTTAAACACCGAGTAAACTTGAGAAGAGTGAAATCAAGGTCAAACGACCGAAAGATCGGGTAAGGGAGTCTGTTACGCGAGGGGAAGATATTAGCATCCCACACGTCCGTAGTACTCTACGGTATCCACTTTTGTTATTCTAATCAAAAGGTGTGTTCAAATCTAAAGCTTTCGAGCTAAAAGAAAAATGCAAAGAGGGAATGCATACAAAAGAAAACACGGGGGAAAAAAGGAAATATTTACAAAGTTTCGCTCGACTGAGCCCCGTGACTAGATGCTCACGTATCCTTTTTTTAAGGAATCAGAACGTCGTAGTTTGGCTCACATGTTTCAGTTTGTTTTGTGTTTTTTATGAATGATTTTAATTTCGCATTCTGCCGCAACTCGACCTTTGGAGATTCACGCTTCAGCACAAAAATGAATTAACACATTCTTTTTGAAAAAAAGATTAGTTTTGATGCAAAGCCCGGAGACGGAATTTTTTTGGAGTTGATTGATGTTTTTTACCTTGAAAAAGGATTTGATAGTTGTTAGATGTTTTATGAATTTGCCAAGAAAAAGGTTTTAGTCTTAAGGATGCAAAGGGAAGGAAAAACATCTAAGGGAGACTATCCTAAATATAATCCCTAATGTTAAAATACAATGATGGTCCTAAGGTCGAGTTTGAAAGGGAAATCCTAACTATGTTAGCATGCATGGTAACGATCCTAATGTCTAACTTGCATCGAAAACGAAACAAGTGAATCCTAAGAGAGCATACAAAGGTTCAAAACCTAAGGAAACATGGCATATACAAGGATGAAAAGCAAACAAGCAATCAACAAGCTCAAGAGAGCACACAAGGGAAATCCCTACCTAAGTTAGCATACCAAAAACCTAAGTGCGAAGATAATTATCCTATAGGGAACATGCAAATATCAAAGTCGTTATGTCAATTCTAATTGAGTGACATCATTGATTATTAATAAAGAAAACGATAAAGTCCTAAGAGAGCATGCAAAGATCGAAGTCGTTATCTCAATTCTAATTGAGTGATATCATTGATCGTCTAAAGAAATAAGCCATGAAATCTTATGGAGAGCATGCAAAGATCAAAGTCGTTTTCTCAATTTTAATTGAGTGACATCATCGATCACCAAAAAAGGAACAAACACAAGCACAAACACACATAATAAATAAGTGTGAAATACCTGCTATAGGTCTTTAAACAACAACTTGGAGTGCACGCTCTTCATTTCATACTTCTCATGGTATCTAGAAAGCGATAAAATGAGGAAAGATAAACCAAGCAGTGTAATACCAAATGCATAAAATGTCTGTTATATAGCAAGCAAGCAAAGCAAAAATACCCCGGAAAACTTCGAGCAAGCTATCATCAACAAAACAAAACGGTCAGAAATCGTGCGCTCAATATAAACATCAAAGTATTTGCAATGTGAAAATAAATCACATATGACGCGTGCATCGGACACACCCGTATCACAAACAATACACCTGCATAAAAAATCGCAACCAGACAAAAACGCAAGCTGTGCATATTTTCTCATGAAATGAGAATTAAGATAAAATCGCGTCGGAAGCAAATCCATAAATCAAACGCTTTTCAACCACATAAGCAAAACTCTAGTTACATGATTGAAAGCTCTCACAATGTACCTTGCACAAGTCACAAAACGTTAGCAATTAGTAGGAAAATATAAGCCAAATCAAAGAGACACAAGCCGAAGCAAAAAGTGGATTTCACATGCAAGAGGTCGACCTGAGGCAACACGGGAGTCGACTTGAGCTGACCCGAGGGAGCAAGAAAAAGAAAGAAAAAAACTTCCACCATGAGTCGACTCAAAGACAGGATGCGTCGACTCAAAGAGGTCTGGTGAGCTGACACAAAGAGTTGACCAGAGGCTTCCCGCGGGTGATGACAAAAACCTGTTCAACATGAGTTGACGCAAAGGGTCGATGCAAGGCTTCCTGAGAGTGACCAAAATTCTTATTTTACCAAGAGTCAAATGAAAAGTCGGGTGAGTCGACCCAAAGAGGCTTGATTTGCAAAATACTTATCTCAAGAGTTCAATTCACACTACATCAAAAACCATTAGTCTATTCTTATACCACAAAACAAATCAACGCAAGAACCAAACTTTGACCGTAGGAAACAACACGAGAGTGCTCATTGGTTCAAGTACCAACCACTTATGAAAAATTCACAAGTTACAACAAATGAAATCCTCATAATTCAACTCAAAGCAACATAATTCATGTGATAGTGCAACTAGTCGGATTTTGAAGTTTTGATGTTGAAAAACGAATTTATCAACAAATTGATTTGAAAAATTATATTAGCTCATGAATTAGCAACTTAAACTTTGTCATAATTCCATAATCGATATCAAATCTCAAATCCAGTGTTTAAAAATCAATATCAATTTTCCGAATGAAATTCCACATCTAATATAGATTATGCAATTATCTAACCAATTCCGAATTTCAAAATCATATCCAAAATCAAGAATCAAGTCAACAATTCAATTTACACCAAAATCACCTCTTAGGCATTTCAACAAACACCTAATCTACATCAATGCTCAACTCATGTGACAACTAAATCAATGATCAAAATTAACACATGAATTCATACAATCTTCAACCAATTCCTACTTTCAACATGATTGAAATCAACATTCAAGGATCAACATAGTTCAAAAGTTTGAAATTGAATTATAATCTCACATCTAATCTTCAATTTCAAAATTCAATCCACAATTGAAAATTAAGATCAAGTCAATTACCTCAATGAAGTGAAGAGGAGTTTGGAGAAGAGGAAATTCGCGATCAGAAGCAAATCAGAGGAGGAGGAGGAGGAGGAGGAGGAGGTGCGGCGGTTGCGGATCGGAAGAGTGGAGGAGATCTTGCACTTTTGTTGATTTTTGGTTTATTGTTGTTGAAGATGCTTGATGATCTTGATGAAGATCTTGAGAAAAAGTTGAGAGAATTTGGTTTGATCTTTGAGAGAAGAGAGAGAAGAGGCTTTGGTGTTTTTGAGAGTATGTGAAGTTATGAGAGAAATTTTGATTTTTTGAATATAAAACCTCTCCAACCGGGCATTGGATTTGGATTTGGGTTGAGCTTTTTTTTGACAGTGTCTTCAAATATGAGCATAAAATGCCACGTCATCATCGGTGCGAAATCTTGACTCGAGCTCAACATGAAAAATGAAGATTGAGAAATTTGTGACGAGATGCCGAAAGAACAGACTCAATTGGATAAACAATGAGAAAGTTATGAATTTTTAAAGGCACACTGACACATAGCAGAGTTAGCTAATGCATATTTTTCTTAGTTGATTTCACCGTTCAATTTGGAAAGAACGCCATAAACGAAAATCCTTCGATCAAAATCCAAACTCAGGGCCTGAAGCAAATTTGTAGCTGACATAATTTATGAAATTGTGCAGAAAGAATCGTCTCGATGCAATAAAAATAGAAGAAGTTACAATTTTTATAATATCGGAAAACGGTAACTTAAAATTCTGGTTCAACACAATAAATTTCTCTAGTAATCCATAATTTCGGGGATCTTATGCTAAGAATTAGCTCTCGGACCAAACATATGAATTTGAGATAAAATCAAGACGGATTTTTGGCCCAAAGAATGGCTCAAAAACATTGATCCATGCGAAAGTTATGAATTTTTGAACATCCACAAAATAACGGTTCAGCACAGTATTTTCACTATTTTTGCACCATTTAGCTTCAAAGTACTCGCCCATTCGGAGATCCTCTTAACAGAATTAGCTTTT